GGTCGGAGTTTAAAGAGAGTTCCTGTTCGGCTAACAGACTTTTTTCCAACAAGACCTGACCTACTCGGTCAGGAATTTCAATAGAGCGAAAGCTAACTGAACTCAGAACACTCAGGTCATGCACACAGGAGCATAGTTTGGTTGAGTTTATTACTCGACGAGACGGACATCTAGGATATGACAACTTGGTACCAAAGGAGAGGAAAGGGACAAAACGATGGACTAGGGAAATTATACACATATATAGCGTTTCTTTCGTGCCCTGATCTGTGCAGGGCGACAAAGACAAGAGCGTTCCTCTCGACTTGTTCTTTCAACACGGAGGGAATTGGTTTCGAGACTGATTAAACCTTGTCGGAGACCCCGGGCTTTTGCTTGTTGACCTTGTAGTTCTTGTGTTTGTAGATGAGCCCACCGACGACTGAGATGAGGGTGAGGAGGATGGGGAGCCAGACGAATACACCTGCTGGACCTGTGGCGGGTGTCGACGAGGAAGAGGACGCTTGTGGCTTGTTACCACTTGAGCTATTGCTCTACACGATCATCAGACCGATTAATTGAAAGAAAAGAAACGACGCGACTCACGTTTGTGGAGGAAGAGGAAGAGGGAGAGTTGGACCCAGAGCTTCCCGTAGGAGACGAACCCGTATTCTCAGTCGTAGACGGACCCGCGACTTGTACGTGCGTCTCCGTACCGGCGGCATCAATCGACGCTGTCACCGCCGCGACATCAATCTCAAAGCACTGAGGAAGAGCCTTCTCCCCCGACTGGAAATTACCCTCTGCAAACCCGCGTCCATACGCCACCGAGAGCGTGTTACTATTCACGTCCGTGGTCTTGCCATCCTTATCCACGAGTATACAAAAATTGGCCTGCTTGTCACCCGAAACCGTACCCAAGGCATAACACATGCAGTATGCGGTTCCACGGGCGATGGGAGACGTGTCGGATTGGCGCGTCCCCGTGGAGGTATAGAGTGCGAATGTGTCGGCGGTGGAGGAGAATGCACGGATGGGAGCGGTACATGCGTCGTGCACGGAGAGTTCTTCTTGGAATTGGTCGGGGGAGAGGGTGCCGCAGATGGGTCTGTAGTCGTGTGCGGTGTAGATGGTGCCTCTGTAGCCGTAGATGGTTGTCTCTCCGGTTCTGTTCAGTTGCGCGGCGCGCACGGAAGAGAAGAGAGAGGAGGAGAGGAGCAAAAGTATTTGGGCCGGCAGATACTTCATGATGGGTGCGTTAAAAGAGCGGATAATTCTAGAGAGAGGAGGGGGGGTTTTAGAAGGGGAGAAATGTAGTCGAGGACAGGCTTGTAACCGTGTTTGTGTGCCCAAATACACCCCCACGGAATAGCCCGTCGAATGCTGACTGGCGTGGATGTCGAGCGGAGAGCAGATTTGGACTTATTTGCAAGTGGCATGAATTGCCAAGACTTTGTTAATTGCCAGCACCATTCAGTCGCCAAGTCACGTGACTCAAGTCTATGGCCAGGTACTATAAAGGGTGATGTTGATAGTGACAACCAATTCAATATAAGATAACACCCCCGGGATTGATTCAACAACCGTCGTCCTCTTTTGTTCAACAGATGGTTCTCTCCGCAATGCAATACGGCTTAAAAATCGGCCCGATTTGATGAAAAATATGCATGTTTGTCCCTTTCATAGACTAGAATTGTACAGCGTACCTCAAAGGCAACCCTTTCGTCGAGTACTTCGTAGTAAAAAACCATTACTTGTGCTCGAATAGCGCTGAGAAAACAATTCCCGTATTTTCCGCGTTCTTTATAGTGCATCCGAGGAGACGGACGAATTTGATGCTATCAACCAGCCAATTAAACTGTATGTCGAGGCTGATCGCGGAGGTGGAACCCCGGGGCCATAGCCTGAAACAAGCCCAGGAAATTACAAAGTGCGAAAAGGATTTGTCTTTAAACATTAGCAGTTTTACATGATACGTTATCACCTTGGTGGTCCAGACCCACCAGGCTTTGTCGACCTTTCAACTCATGAGATTCACAAAGTCAAACGAACAAATAGGTTCGGATACAAAATGAAGACTAAACCCAATCTCATACATTCGCGGCTCGCATCGCTCTCTCCTGTTCCAATGTTTTCCTGAGCTGAGCATTGGCCGCTTGGGCCTTTGCCAGTTGATACTGCTTTCTCTTGTAGTAGATACCACCAATACCGAATATACAGCTCAGCAGGATGGGAAGCCATACGTATACTCCTGCAGGACCTGTAGGAGAAGAGCCAGATCGTGGGGACGGAGACGAAGACGGTTGGTTATTGTTGCCCGTCGATTGTCGCTAAAGACGGTAAGTATGATATCACAAATGTAGAGGAACGTGTGCTCACAGTCAAAGTAGAGCTAGGATTAGATCCCCCTAGGGTGTCGGTCTGCGAAGGATCTCCACCCCCCGAATCGACAGTCGTACTCGTAGCAGGCTCAACCTGCAAATGCGTCGCATCCCCCGCCGCATCCAACGAACTAATCACCTCCGCCGTATCAATATCAAAACAATGCGGCAACGCTTTCGTCGCCAACTGAAAACTCCCAATCGCAAATGGATACCCAGCCCACACAAACAACGAATTATCCATATAATCACTCGTCGTTCCATCTTTCAACACCAATATACACCAACTGGCCTTTCGTCCATCGAGGTCGGCGAGAGCGTAGCACATGCACACGTCGTCGTCTCGCGCGATAGGAAACGTGTCGGATTTGCGTACTCCTGACCGATCATAGAGCGCAAATGTGTCGTCTGTACCCCGGAATTGGTGGATGGCGGCTTCACAGTCTTCTTTGATGTAGAACGTTTGGTTGAATTGTTCGGTGGCCATGAGGCCGCAGATGGGTCGGTAGTTGTGTGCGGTGTACCGTGTCCCCGGATATCCTTGGATCTCTCCATCTCCTTCTAGCGGTATTTGTTTCGCATAGACGAATACAAAGAGTGTGGAGAGGGTGAAGAGGGGTAAAAGATGCATGATGCTGGGGCCAGTGAAGACTAACCAGGTTGGCTTTGTTGACTCGAGGAAGAGTGCTAGCACTTGAGCCGATGGGAAAAGAGGTCTATAAATAGTCGGATGTAGACCCAAGGTCCCGTCTCAACGCGAGGCGTCACGCACGAGCGATCCTGCTGATTGCCAGCATTTGAGAGAGGAGAAAAGATGGTTTGGTGAGGAAATACGAATCATTCTAAACTTTTTGGTAAATATTGTGGGTTAGTGTACTAGTTGTAAAGCTGTCAGGATGGTAGAGGAGGAAGCCAGGCTGAATGTCAGCCCTATTGAATTGGCCATGGACGTCTAAACAAGTGGATGGCTCTCTCTTCTAGTGTTATATATACTAACTGAATGGGATTCAGGGCAACTTTAGAGGCCTTAATGAGAGGATGACCGCTGACGCAGAACAGAAACTTTTACACCATATATACATGAATCTGTCTAATCATAACCTGAATGCAAACCTTTCGTAAATATGAACGGTAATGGATGAAAGTCGACGTTTTCGAGTGGAAATACCAATCGAACTGCTCTACTTGGTCCGCAAGGACCCATGTCTGAGCTGAGCTTCCAAGAATGAAGAGACGGATTTGTGTGTGTAAACGCGTAGACCAAGGACTGTCGTGGCCGAATCCTCTAAAGCCTATAACGGAATGAATATCAACATCGGAGAGGTAAAGCTCGGAAAAGTGACGCACCATTGGCTTGAGGAAAGTTGATTCTTCTGGTTCTACAATGGGAAGCATGTGATGGGATCGCGGGTGAAGCCCTTTCTTGTAGCATCTCTCGCAAAGATCATAGTCGGGACATTCAGACCTGTCATCGTTCGTGATTTAAGGACCGAAGAGGAGAATACAGCAGAATAGACACTCACTCTATGCACCTATAAAATATATGAGTGACAACATCAGTTCCATAGAAACGTGAACGTACTTG